GTGAGTTGAGTGAATCGTTACATCCCTAGCTATTTCATAAGCTCTTTCTCTTTTAAAAAATATTTTAGTGAATTTTTACTAAATGTATGAAATAAGATAATTTAATATCAGAATTTTGATGTATGCTTGATTTTGAATTATTAAATTATTTATAATATATTGGCATTTTATTGGATATTTAAACATTAAAAAAAATGTAGTGTTAAAATTTTTTTGTGAATTTTCATCAAATATTGTGTCAAATAAGTTTATGCATGTTTCATTTTTCATTATTAAATTTAATTATTTATATTATATTGCCATTATTGCCATCTTTTTTTTTTTTTAATAATTGACCATTTTCAGCAAATATTTTATGAAATAGGGTTATGCATGTTATATGCATGTCTCATTTTGCATTATTAAACTGAATAAATTATAATATATGGCATTATATTGGCCTTATAGGTATTTAATAATGAACTGTTTCTGTTTTTAAAACATTTACATATTTTTTTTATCAAATATTGTGTGAAATGTGGGTTATATGCTCTTTTTACATTATTAAATTGAATTATTTATAATATATTATTATTATGGGCATTATATGGGCCATTGGCCATACTAAATACAGTATGCTACATTCATATCATATATTAGTTTGAGAATGTAAGCAAGTGACAAGTTTTGTTTTTTGTTTTTCTTGCCAAGTACAACTGCTTTCTGCAGTATGCAGAGGTGCTTCACAAACATTGGGACTATGTGTCTGATATTAATTAACGTGATTTTATTGACCACAGAAAACCTGGAGGTAAACAGAATTTTATTCAAAAATGTTTATGTAGATTTTCTAGTGGTCATGACAGCAGTAATTCATCAAATGATGGAGAAGAGCATTATAGCTAGGCACATATCCAGACACGTGCTGTAGTTAAGCACACTTTCTGCAATTCAAAGAGCCAATGTAAGTGTATATACTGATGTTGTAAGTCCTAGTAAAGTATGACAGAATGGGAGAGTCTGCTGCATCCTCCAAAACCAAACACTCAGAACCGGCCTACAAGATGAGAAACTGTCATTGCACAATTACCTCATTTGCATAATTCAACTAAGTGCTAAAATCAAATACACCATCAGGGGATGCAATCATTGTCTCTGTGTGTGTGTGTGTGTGTGTGTGTGTGTGTGTTTTGTATGCAATCTCTGCATTAAACCACGACCGGAGAAAGTATTTTAACATCCAAAAAAACATGGATTACTACTTTGAGAACTGATGAAAATTTCATTATTATAGTGTTATATTTCAATTTCACAAAGAAACGTACAGTATTTTGTCCAAGCAATAATAAAAAGACACATTTAATTTATAATTTGTCTTAAATCTAATTTTGTTAAAAAAAAAAATCATGAATCGAATCGAATCGTGAAATCAAAATCGTGAATCGAATCGAAATGTGAGTTGAGTGAATCGTTACATCCCTAGCTATTTCATAAGCTCTTTCTCTTTTAAAAAATATTTTAGTGAATTTTTACTAAATGTATGAAATAAGATAATTTAATATCAGAATTTTGATGTATGCTTGATTTTGAATTATTAAATTATTTATAATATATTGGCATTTTATTGGATATTTAAACATTAAAAAAAATGTAGTGTTAAAATTTTTTTGTGAATTTTCATCAAATATTGTGTCAAATAAGTTTATGCATGTTTCATTTTTCATTATTAAATTTAATTATTTATATTATATTGCCATTATTGCCATCTTTTTTTTTTTTTAATAATTGACCATTTTCAGCAAATATTTTATGAAATAGGGTTATGCATGTTATATGCATGTCTCATTTTGCATTATTAAACTGAATAAATTATAATATATGGCATTATATTGGCCTTATAGGTATTTAATAATGAACTGTTTCTGTTTTTAAAACATTTACATATTTTTTTTATCAAATATTGTGTGAAATGTGGGTTATATGCTCTTTTTACATTATTAAATTTAATTATTTATAATATATTATTATTATGGGCATTATATGGGCCATTGGCCATACTAAATACAGTATGCTACATTCATATCATATATTAGTTTGAGAATGTAAGCAAGTGACAAGTTTTGTTTTTTGTTTTTCTTGCCAAGTACAACTGCTTTCTGCAGTATGCAGAGGTGCTTCACAAACATTGGGACTATGTGTCTGATATTAATTAACGTGATTTTATTGACCACAGAAAACCTGGAGGTAAACAGAATTTTATTCTAAAATGTTTATGTAGATTTTCTAGTGGTCATGACAGCAGTAATTCATCAAATGATGGAGAAGAGCATTATAGCTAGGCACATATCCAGACACGTGCTGTAGTTAAGCACACTTTCTGCAATTCAAAGAGCCAATGTAAGTGTATATACTGATGTTGTAAGTCCTAGTAAAGTATGACAGAATGGGAGAGTCTGCTGCATCCTCCAAAACCAAACACTCAGAACCGGCCTACAAGATGAGAAACTGTCATTGCACAATTACCTCATTTGCATAATTCAACTAAGTGCTAAAATCAAATACACCATCAGGGGATGCAATCATTTTCTCTGTGTGTGTGTGTGTGTGTGTGTGTGTGTGTGTGTGTGTGTGTGTGTGTGTGTTTTGTATGCAATCTCTGCATTAAACCACGACCGGAGAAAGTATTTTAACATCCAAAAAAACATGGATTACTACTTTGAGAACTGATGAAAATTTCTTGAAAATCATTTACTAATTTGCACATTGTGTAACATTTGAAGGACAATAGTGAATAACTATAGATCACACTCGAACCCCACTGTGACAAGCTATTCCTGTTTTTCATGGCATAGTTAGAGTTTGCACTCATGCTGCTTTCCTCAAATAGCTGATGAAGTTGACCACGTCTAAATGCATATTAACCTAAAGCTAGGAGTTTCTCATTTGTTTTTTAACCCGTTTGATTGTTCACAAGGGCATAGGTGATAACCGGGACCTTAGAGTGGGCGGCATATTGCCTATAAAAGCCACAGTCAGAAATACAATAGTGGTTAAAACCACCAGCTAAATCAATAAGCTCTAATTACCATGGATTGTAAAGGAGAGCCTGACAGCACCATTGTTAATGCGTCACTCTCTGGAGCAGCGTGAACTGAAACTTAATGATAGATCTCGCTATTAAAAGAGCGGGAATCAAAAGGTTAGCCATGAATGGCCTTAGTAGGTGTTCATCTTCCACAGTCGATGGAGGAAAGGCACTTCTGCTATTCATAAGGCAGGAACTTGGGGCTTGAATATTACAATAATAGCTTGTGCTTTTTTGTCATTTTTCTGATGTGTAGGAGTCATAGCGGTGGAAGTTATATGCAAATTTAAAGAGTTCCTCAAGTCTGGATTCACAGAAATAGCTCAGACTGTGGTTGGTTTGAAAACCTACTGACCTGCTTCGCTGTCTGCTATCTATATAGGCAGCTACCTTTTAAGATAGTCATTTAGAGTTTATGTTTATGTGTTGCTGAGTTAGCAAATCCAAACTAAGAAACACAAAAATACATATTGCATGCACATATTGGATGAAATATTTTTAGTACCTTTTAAAAGTAGTTGTACCGTTCTGTACTAGTGAAAGACTAGTATATTATGCAATGTTGTGCAAAATTCAGATTTAAATGTTCAGTTCATGAATGTGAATTTGAATTGGCCATCATTTTGTTGTTTTGTCAAAACAATATAAAACTTGTTATCTTGACAAACTTTGCTTTTGTAGTTTAAAATGTAATAAATAATTAAATAAAAAGCTTTTGTGGTTAAAAATTAGTTACATTTTTAAATATAATAAATAATTAAATAATTTAAGAAATAAATCATATTTATTGTATTTCAATTCATTTTTTGCTATCATTTCAAATTGCAATTCTGCATCCTGTTATCCACCTTAAATAAATTTAGTAGTTGAATTAGAATTTTAAAGGCATTCTAAATTCAATCCCTAATGGCACACGATCCTGATGTTGGATATTTGTTTATTTTGTGACTAACATAATGTTATCCATGTCCAATTTTCTGTTCAATTTTTCAATTTTCTGTTGATATGACTGAAAGGTCAGCCATATCAATACATACAGGCAGTGCACATTTTCTGTTTTCAAGTATATTATGTTGAATTTTGAGTAAATATTCAGCTGTTTAGGGAAGCAGCTCAATAAGGTTTTGAACAGACTCTAGGGCACTAGAATTGTACATTTTAAGCATCAGAGGACTCAGGAATTCAATTTGTGATGATTGTAGATGTCTGCACTCTAGTTACACACGAACACATTCTGTGTTCACAAGAAAAGACAAAACTGCTTATACCTCAACTTCTTTTGATCATTCATATTTAAGCCACTAACACCAGCACTTAAGTCAGGCGATGATGTCTCATGAATTGCAGCATTTTACATGTCTTTCAGGCACCATGAATTATTTCTGTGGCATCAAAAATGCTTGCAAGCTCATAAGCTATGCTTTTTTTTTATCTTTCAGAGATTGTGTAAAGCATGTTTTTTTTTTGTTTTTTTTTTAAGGCAGGAGAGATGGACTTCATTTTTAAACTAATAATACAAGGATGAATGAAGTGGACAGGCTGAGTCTAATGGCAAATTGATGTTTTACTTCTTGGTAGTAAAATGTCCCCTCAGGCATCTTTGACCAAGCCTAGGATAGATTGTAATTGATAATGGATGGCTCGCATATCTCTTAAAAGTGGAATTGTGGCCTCCTTCTAGCAATGAATCACAGGAGATTTGACGCCGGTGCTGTTCACTTTTGATACCTAAACATACTGTACTCGACCTGAAATGAACATGCATTGGTGATAGCGCTCCATAAAGTCTAATGTGTTGTTTCACATTCTGTATGCTGCCTGTTATGTACAAAAGGCCATATTTTTCCATAATACTTGTGTTTTGATTCAGAAAAGCTGTCAAGAGCATGTCTAGGTCACGTTTCAACCCAAAATCTAAGTATTTTAATTAAAAAAAGGCCTATTTTGGGCTATTTTTTACTATTGTGACATTATTTAATGACAATTAAAAACATTTTCACCTCAAATTCCCATTACTGTAACATGTCTAGATAATTCTCATTATTCTCAGTTGTGATTATAATTGTATTTTAATCAGGGGCGTGTCTACGTGGTGGCCAGGGGTGGCACTGGCCCCCCCTGAAATTTGGCTGGCCACCCCAGGTGCCCCCCCTACCAGATGTCTTGCGATAGGCTTGTTTTTAGTAAATTTTTAACTGCATCTGGCAGTGGCGGATCCTGGCATGTGTAGGCAGCTGCCTAGGGCCGCTTTCTTCTCTTCTTTATACTTAATTTTAGGCGGTTTCTATAGTGTGATCTTTCTCTCCACTCGCAAGCGGATTTCCTTCACTCACACAAAACTGGACGTATGCTTTTAAATATACATTGTACTTTTATGATTG